CTTGCCATATAGAATGATTTAGGACGTTTACCTACTTCTGAAAGACATTATAGAGAATTGGTATAATTTCCTCCTTAAATGTTAGATAGAATTCATCAGTGCATCCATCTCAGCCTGCTACATTTTGGGGACTATTATTAATAATTGATTCAATTTGTTTAATAGATATAAACCTATTCAGATTGTCTATTTCTTCTTGTGTGAGTTTTGGCAGATTTTGTCTTTTAAGGAATTGGTCCGTTTCATCTATGTTGTTGAATTTATGGGCATAGAGTTGTTTATGCTATTCTTTATTTTTTAGGAACTACAGTGACGTCCTCTCTTTAATATTTAATACTAGTAATTTGCATCTTTTCTTTCTTTCTTTCCCTTTTTTTGTTAGTCTGGCTATTGATCTTTTCAAAAACACTTACTTTTAGTTTTGTTGATTTCATTGATTTCTGCTTTAATTTTTATTCTTTATTTTATTTTTTCTTACTTTGAATTTGATTTGCTCTTCTTTTACTCGTTTCCTAAAGTGGAAGTTTAGATTATTAATTTTAAATCTTTCTATTTCAATTTATGCATTAAATGCTATAAATTTTCAAAGTTATGTTGCATCCAGCCTACCAATACATTTATATTCCACACTTATTAGAAGCAGTAGATTGTAGTGAGAAGAGAACTCAACAGTGCCAGAAGGTCTCAATTTAAGTCCCACCCCGGCTTTCTGGCATGAGATAAATCACTACTTTCTTTTGAGTCTCAGTTTCCCCATTCTGTAGAAATGGAATTTGTTAGTAGCTATACAATGGTTCAAAGTAGTGAGTATAAATTATAAATAAATACCACTCATTTTATATACTTTAGATTACTGTGAAATTGAATGGTCATGATGGCTTCACCGAGGGGACAGGCTTGACTTTTTTGAATGAAAGCATTTTAGTTTTATAGATTTCCTTCTTAGCACTGCTATGGCTGCAACTCACAAATTTTGGTATTTTGTAGTTTCATTTTAAACCAGTTCTATGATTTTTTAGATTTCTTTTGAGATTTCTTCATTGATCCATCAATTATATAGAAATGAATTTTTTTAAAAAATTTTCTCCTGTACGATGACCATTTTGTATACCTAATCTTGAATTGTGCCCCATGTCTTTAAATATAAAATAAATAAATTTTAAAAAATAAAAAGAGTGTATGAGTATTAAAGGTTTTCCTTTTGTCTTTCTGTTACTGATTTCCAGTTTGGTTTCATTGTCGTTGGAGAATATATATTGTATGATTTCAATTCTTTTACATTTGTTGATATTTGTTTTATGTTTCAGGATATTGAACCATAAAAACCATTTATCTTGATAAATGTTCCATAGTTTTTTAAATCATGAATATCTGCTATTCTTTGGAATGTTTTCTATATGTCAATTAGATCTTATTAATTCATTGTATTGTTCAGATCTTCAATATCCTCATTTGCCCTTATTTTTGCTTTTCCTGTTTTTGTCTTTCCTTTCTGATATTCCAGAATTTTTTCTTTTATCATCTCTTTCCTGTTTGAAAACTTTCTCTTAGCCATTCTTCAAGGGTAGGTCCGGTTGTGGAAAAAAAGTCTCTTCGATTTTCTTAATCTGCAAATATCTTCATTTCTCCTCCATTCTTTATGGATAGTTTCACTGAATTTATAATTTTTGATCAATAGTCTTTTTCTTTCAGCACTAAAAAAAAGTCCAGTCACTTCCTTTTGGCCTCATTCAAAATTATGTTCCCCTGTAGGTAATATGTTATTTCTTTTTGGTGTTTTCAATTTTTTTTCTGCCTTCAGTTTTTAGCATTTAAGAATGCTGTGTCTTAGCATATAGTTCTTTGGGCTTATCATATTTGGGGATCACATAGCTTTTTAAATCTATAGGCTTATATCTTTTGACAAATTTGGAAAGTTTTACATCATATTTCTTCAAATATTATTTCATTCCCACTCTTTCTTCTTCTGAGACTCCTATAATATGAATTATGATTCTATTACTATTGCTGAGATTCTGTTCATTCAGCCTATTTTCTCTGTTATTGTTTGGATTCAATAAATTCTATTGATTTGGATTCAATAAATTCTATTGATTTGATTTTGATAGCTGCTGCTATCAATTTTTTCCAGAAAATTCCATTTGATTTATATTAGTATTTGTATCTGTTGATTGCCTTTTATCATTCAAATTATAATTTTTCTTGTTTTTGATATGATGAAACTTTGAACTGTATTCAATTGAGTAGGGATTGAAACTTTGGACTCTATTCGATTGAGTAGCCAAATGCAATCAGGAATTAGAATGCTTTGTGAAGCATAAAACTTTATGTAATTCATTGATAGTATACACTCTTTCTGATGCCTCTTTTGTTTTTCACTTGCCATGTAGTACACTTTTATAGATACTGTAGTGGTGGCAGGCCATTTTACTCAATCCCTAAGCTATCATTTGTCTGTGCTCTCTAACCAAGTCTATCTTCTGTTACCTTCACTCTACAATTGAGCCCACCCAGTGAACCTTTCATTTCAATTATATTTTCCAGCTCTGTAATTTCCATTTTTTATAACTTCTATTGCTTTGCTGAGATTTTCTATTTTCCATTTGTTTCAAGAGCATTTATAATTGCTTGCAGAAGCTTTTTTGTGATAACTGCTGCTCTAAAAGTTTTTCCAGAAAATTCCATTTGATTTATATTAGTATTTGTATCTGTTGATTGCCTTTTATCATTCAAATTATAATTTTTCTTGTTTTTGATATGATGAAACTTTGGACTGTATTCGATAATCTACTTTAGCAGAAAGTCACCCTGTTCAAATCTGGCACACAAGTCTTGATATAATTGCATGTTCTAATAAAAAATTAATTTCAGAGACTTCATTGTACTGTTTTGTTATGCTTGGTTCCTCTGGTGTTACCAAGGCTCATGTTGATCCTTGCCAGAGCCAGTTGTTGTCTCTGGATAGGGAATGGAATTTTCCAGCTTGAAGGAACAAAGAGTGCTTCCTGTGTTGGGCAACTTGCTGATGAGATACTTTTCAGGTGCTACCTAGTGTTTACTAGAGGGAAGGTTACCTCTGGCTAGCAGAAATAAAGTGTAATTCCCCTGGCCACTTACTGTCAGCAAGGTTCCTTTTCAATCTTTCTTTTCAGTGCTGCCAGGCCTACCTGGAGTTTTCACTAGGACACCTCTTCCATCTTTGGTTGCCTTTTGCCAGATTAAGAGAGGCTGGAACTGGGTCACCTTCTGTTTCTGGGTGGAGGGCCATATGATGGCAAGTTGTTGTGTTGATCTTCCAGTACTGTGTCCCTAGCTAGTCTGCCTTCCTCTTTCTACCTTTTTCAGTACTTCTATTGTTAGCTCTTTCATAATTTCCAGGTATATTTATATTCAGGAAGAGATAAGTCTGACATTTTGTTCAAACTAGAATCCTAATTTATATTTTCAAAACATCACTTTTACATATGAAGAATAAATTGTTGGGAACTAGAGGGAGCATAAGGAAGGTAAACAGGAGGTTACTATGATAGTCCAGGTAACAGATGACTATGTTTAAAACTGAGGTGGTAGCAATGGAGATGAAAACAAGAAGTGACTACATTAAAAATATTTTGGAGACAAAACAAGACTCACTGATGTGTTGACACTGGCTTGTACAATTGAATGCCACTTAACTGTCAAAAACATCTTCTTACAAACTCCCCCTTCACCCATGGAGCAAATATACCACAAAAATACATCTATTTCTTAAATACATAGGCTCTTTGCTTCCATTCTTTGACCTGGAGTGGAATTGCAAACCAAGAAAAAATGCACCCCGATTCACCAGTTAGTCTCCCAGATTCAAGTTAAAGACTTCTCAGTTGCAGGCAAATTATAACCATTAATTGAGTGGAGTCCCCAGAGTGCAATTGGTTTTCATGAACCTCTATGTTAACACAGGCCAAAATGGTTTTGCTACTGTAAAACGCATTGGTATCACAATGGCTTACATACTATCAACTGGATAACTAACAATATAAACTCTTCCTTTATCTCCCTATATTTTGTGACTTCCAGTAAAACACTCCAGAAAAACACTGACCATGATAAAATAATATAGACTCTGGCTTTTGTTTTCTCCCCCAAACTTCAACATTATATGGTAACTAAATACCAGCTCTGTGAATTTCTACACTGTATCTGCAAGGGGTTGCTAACTAGGCAAACAGAAAAGTTCTCATCAATTCTGGTTAGAAGGATGGAGATTAGGGGATGTTTCTATGATATAGGAGGATGAAACCAATATTTGGAGTTAAATTATTTAATTCCTGTCCAACTTCTAGCTGAGTGGTCTTGGATAAAATACTTTAAAGTTCTTGAACTTTTGTTTACTCAGATGTAAATTGGGATAGCACTCTAATAGAACGGAGGTAAGCCAAATGCAATCAGGTATTAGAATGCTTTGTGAAGCATAAAACTTTATGTAATTCATTGATAGTATATACTCTTTCTGATGATTCTTTTGTTTTTCACTTGCCATGTAGTACACTTTTATAGATACTGTAGTGGTGGCAGGCCATTTTACTCAATCCCTAAGCTATCATTTGTCTGTGCTCTCTGACCAAGGTTTACAGAGGCTCAGACTTACATGTAACAGAGGAATGTTGCTGTAAAGTACCAGAGAAAATGATTCTGTTTTATAAAGCATCCGCCAAAGTTGCAAGTAGACCTCTCACATTTCCAATGCCAAAAAGGGCCCACAAAGTATGTGCCCACCTATCCTTACCCAATAGGGACAGGTTTGAGTTCAGGCTCAGAGTTCTTTCTCTATGGAAACTTTTCTTAGCGTGTAGAAAATTTTTGTCTGCTACAGAATAACTCATTTTCTTGGATGGTGCCCACCACTCTTTTAGACACACACCATACACCATACTTTATGCCCTCTCCCAAGTATTTTCCATTTCAGTTGTGGACACAGAAGCCATGGGCACCATCAAAATCAATCATTAAATTCAGTCTTTCAGTGTTCTAAAAAGTACTTTAATAGACAGGATTTTCTGCCTAGATCACGGAGAAGCCATTCAACATTCCCTTCAGGGCCACGGTATAGAAACGGAAGACTAGTTTTCTGAGGAGTTTCTGGCTCCAGATATTGTAGACTGTCATATCAGCAACAACCCATCTACCACTTGTCCGAAACAGTTCACTGCCAAGAAGAATCAAAATTCAATTTGGATTAGTAATTCCCACTCTACCTCATCATGCCTATCCTCTTAGCCCTTAGTTTAGATGTGGATTATTGTCACAGCTCATGTGGCTTCAGCTCAAAGTGAACTTGTCTGGGTCCTGAAAAGCAATGGAAAGCTAATCAATGAGTTTTTAATCTTGGTATCTACTTTGTGAGAAGGATTGTTTTCTAGAATTTTCCAGACCTTCCAAGCAACAGAAGATGATATAATATAGTTGCTGAAATTTGTGATATAGCATACTATGGTACTCACCTAGCTCCAGGTACCCAAGTGGAGCAAAGAAACTAAAGAAAAGGTGAAATCATACTATTTCCATGAAAATAAATAAATGAAGAAATACCCAGATAAGTTTGATTTCCTCCTCTGCCTCTCCACCACCCATGCCCCTTTGACAGTGGGGTTAGCTGCTAGTCCATGACCTGCTGGGAGTGCATTCCACATATGCTTCCTGAGGATATCCTCAGGCTCCAGGTATCACTGCTTGAGAGACAGAAGCTTGAAGCTGTCATCCAGAATGGACCTCCTATTGCGTCGCAGTTTTCTCTGCCGATATTGATACCAAACCACACCACCAAGACACAGAGCAATGAGCAGAAGGATGACACTCATGCCAATCAAAACTGAAGTCAGCATCTCAACATTCTTTATTGGGATCTGCATGCCCAGCATTCTCACACTGCCTTCTCCGATGTCTCTGGAGATTGCTGTCAAAATAGAGGAAGGAAAAAAATGAGCATCCTGGGATGGGGAGTATTCTAAAGAGTTACCTTTTTTTGTTGTCTCCTAAAAAAATAAGTCCATTCACATAGCATATCAGACCTATTCTTATCCCCTCCAAAAATAAATAAATAATATATTTTTTTAAAAAGCTAATGAAGACAGATTATAGAGAATAAGGAAACAAAATGTTACGGTCAGAAGGGTCCTTGGGAATCATTGAGGCCTTAGTCAATCCCTGGAAAGACTTGGAGTGGGAAGGTTCCTGATACATTTACTCAAATTTCTAAAGGCCTATGATGTAGAAAAAAAAATAATTGGACTTGGTCTGCACAATTTCAGAAGGCAGAATTGGAAGTAATAAGGGAAACTCCAGAAAGCAGGTTGACTAGATCATCCAGTTTATCAATGTTCATCATAACCATTAGACCATGACAACAACCTGCTACTGAGCTCTTTAGTCTCTCACTCTTTGGGGCATATTAACACTGATGTCTCATACATACTTCCAAGTAAAATACCTGATTGTGTTAGTTTCTGGCATACAAACTTTTGATGGTCACCAATTAACCTACAGATAAAGCTCAAACTGTTAAACCAGACATTCCAACTCACACAATCAGGCTCTAACCTACTTTTCCCCATAATGAATAATCCTCTTTCAGGTTTTGCTTATGCTATTCCCTATGCATAAACACACTTTCCTCCTTCTCCTCATCTTTTTAACCCCAGTTTAAATATTACACATCTCAGCAAAGTTTTATTCACTTCAATTAGACAATTAATGGTCCTTTCGTCTATGTTTCCAAAATACCTGTACTTTGTATTCTCACAAAATGTACTTTCTGTGTGACCTCGAGACAAGTGACCTAATCCCCCACTCCCCATCAGTTTTCTCTTTAATATGAGGGTAATAACATACCTAACAAAGAAGTTTATTGTAAGATTTAAATGAGTTAAGACTTATATTTAGCACAGCACTTAGCATATAGCAAGTGTACAACAAATGTTAGCTGTAATTATTGTTTACCCTTTTTATACAACACATAGCATTCAGCATTTAGATTATTGTTTTTGTGTCTCATTCCATTTATATATACTGGAAAATAGCAACTATGTCTTATTTGTTTTGATATCCCTGGTACTTGACACCTGTTTGATAAATGTATAACTGAATAAATGAGTGTCCTAACAGAATTGAGAAAAGATGGAATATAATGAGTTCAAATAGAAGCTGAAAAACAGCCTGGACATATATATATCCTATGCAGCCTAGGTCCATGTAGTGTTGTTATTATCCACTTCATTTGTCCCTGGACTAATAATGATTCAGAAAATTATGAGAGCTAAAAGGGACATCAGAGATCATCAATTTAGTCTGGAGGTTTTTTATCTGTGTTTGGAGAAGTTCTAATGATCTGCCTAAGTATCTCATAAACTGTTAACCATGACTAGGGTATGCCCTGGAGGGACTAGGAAGAAGTGAGGTGAGGCTGAGTGAGTGGGGCTTCAGGCCATATCTCCTTCAACTTGAGCAGGTCAAATATGCTTGGACCTAGGTTGCATATGACAAGAATCTCTATTTTCGTGAAGGAAAGAAATGGGTGATTTCAAAGGTTCAGTTGCTTGGTATTCCTTTAATGAAGGGGAAAGAGCTAAGAATAAAAATAGCTGTTGAAGACCCTAACCATAGGTCTAGTCTTACACTGTTCCAGTGGGGAATCCATGTCAGCACTACAACTCTTTCATGCTCAATCCTAGAATTTTCTTCCCCCTCACACATTAGGTGGGAGTTAAGACAGCAACTTCCAACTGGGGATGAGTTTGTTTTCTCCAACTCAGGAGACTGAAGGCGGGAGTCAGAAAGAATAAACCTGCCGAGGGAAGCTAAACCTTGGTTCTCTGGCTCCTGAAGTCTTACAGAAATCTCAGGATGCTTTGTGCTAGTATATTTATATATACATTTCAATCATATGAGTATCATCTGTTAAAGGTCACACACACACACACACACACACACACACACACACACACATACAACTACATTCTACCTACCTTTTTCAATCTCTTTGGTGATGGTGGTGATGGTACCTAGGTGTGCTGAGGGGGGGAAAAGGCAAAATTTACCAAGGGTGTTGCAATCGTCTACTGAAACCCCAGTAACTTTACTTTCCCTACATTTTGACTGGTATCCTGAATGTTGCCAGAGAAAAAAAAACACACAATTATAAAAATTAGTATTCTTTGTATCCAACTTCAACTAAGTCTTTAATGCTGCCAGGCATTTATTTTTTTCTCATTCCCGAGAATGTCTATTTCAAAACTTTTGTTCATTTTCCTCAAGCCCTTTACCCTACTATCTGCCCTTCACTCTCAGCAGAATATTCTATTTGTTCCATCACAGAGGATGCAGTGACCATAAGGCTAAAATTCTTTGTCAGGTGTCTCCCCAAACCTACACACTGATCCTTATCTTTTCTTACAGAATAAAGATGTTTCCTCCAGTCTTATAATTTTTAATTTTAGCCCTGATTCTCATCCCCTGCTAGCTCATCAGGAAACTTGCTACAACAATTAGTCTTTTTCTCATCTATCTTGAACTCTTCCTTCTTGTTGGCCTGTTAAAACATATGGAATTGAAGCAATATGAAATTAGACTATAGGGAGGTATGAGCAAACAAAAAGGCAAATAGGTAAGATTTGTGGGCTGTCTCATTGTCATAGAGAGATATGAACTATCCTTTCTCATAGATGTGCCCTGATAGTATGTATTAATATGGTCTCATATATTGGATAACTCATATTTAAGATCACCCATTATTAAATATTGAGGCAATGTGTTGTCTTGAATCTATAGTACTTTGATGGCATATCAAATAATAATTTGACTTTTGTTCTAAGTACTGATAGAACACAACAAAGAATTCTATGTAACTGTCTGGGTCCTAGGAAATAATACTTGAGTAGTAAGTGGAAGCCACATTCTAGCAGCATGGATTGCCAGAGAAGAAATATTTTTAATAACACAGGAAATCATAATGTAAAATCATTTATCTCCCTTCTTGGGGATAAACAGCAGAGTTGCATCCCCACCCTGATTTGCTCAGTCTGTTTGAATTGTTAAAGACATTTTCCCACTCTATTCCTATTGGCAGAATGCCAGCTGACAATTCCAGAATACTCCCTTCAATCCCACTTCAATCTCACCATTTTTTAATGGTGGTAGTGTGAATTATTTTAAAGCACAGGGGAAAAACTGATTTCTGTGGAGCCCAGGAGACTCTATAGAGTTTCTTGGAAGGTTGATAATGTTGGGGGCTAGACTCAGGTCAATAGGTCACTTTACTTTTACTTTATAGTGACTCAAAGACACAAAAGTCAACATAGCCTGCTTTTCCACATTCTTGGTAAAGAACAAAGAGTGACAGGTAAAGAAGCCACCCCAGCTATTCCCTCTCCACATAAACAATAACAGTCTTTCACAACCCAAAAAAATAAGTCAATTAAGGGTGACTGTTAGAATGTTCTCTTCAGAAAGGAACTCGGCAATATTCCTTGATGTGTAAGTGCTTCTGATTTTTAAAATGATGGCCATTCTGACTGCTGTAAGGTGGTATCTCGTTGTTTTAATTTGCATTTCGCTGATTATGAGTGATGTTGAGCATTTCTTCATGTATTTGTAGGTCATTTGTATATCTTCTTTTGAGAGATGTCTGTTCATGTCATTTGCCCACATTTTTTTTTGAGTTGGAGTCTCACTCGGTCGCCCAGACTGGAGTGCAGTCACCGCAGCCTCGACCTGCTGGGCTCCGGCGATCCTTCCGCCTCAGCCTTCCAAGTAGCTGAAATTACAGGCATGCGCTACCACACCCGGCTGATTTATTGATTTATTGTAGAGATGAAGTCTCGCTGCCCAGGCGGATCTCAAACCCGCGGGCTCAGGCAATCCACTCACCTCAGCCTCCCAAAGGTGCGGGATTACAGGCTGAGCCACCGAGCCCGGCTAACTTGCCCACTTTTTAATGGGATTATTTACTTTTATTTTGCTGATTTGTTTGAGCTATTTGTAAATTCTGGATATTAGTCTCTTGTCAGATGTACAGTTAGCAAATCTTCTCCCATTCTGTAGGCTGACTGTTTGCTCTGTTGATAATTCCCTTTGTTCTGCAGAATCTTTTTAGCTTAATTAAGTCCCACTTATTTATTTTTTTTAGTTGCATTTGCTTTAGGAGAAAAGAGAACACCTACACTGTTGACAGGAGTGAAAATTAGTACAAGCATTATGAAAAGCAGTACGGATATTACTCAAGAAACAAAAAGTATATCTAGTATTTGATCCAGCGAGACAACTACTAGGTAGGTACCCTAAGGAACAAAGGTCATTATATAAAAAAGACACCTGCACCTGCATGCTCATTGCAGCACAATTCACAATTGCAAAAATGTGGAATCAACCTAAATGTCACCTATCAATCAGTGGATAATGAAAATGTGGAATATATGGAATACTTTGAAACCTTGAAAACAAATGAAATCATATTCTTTGTAGCAACATGGATAGAACTGAAGACCATCATCCTAAGTAAACTGACTCAGAAACAGAAAACCAAATACCACATATTCTCACTCATATGTCGGAGCTAAATAGTCACAAATATGGAAATAATAGACACTAGGGACACCAATAAGAGGAGAGGAGAGAAAGGGGTTAGGGTTCAGAAACTACCTATGGGACACTATGTTCACTATCTAGGGAATGGATTTCCTGAGACCCAATCCCCACCACTATATAACATGTCCATATAACAAATACTCATGTGCAATTCCAAATCTAAAATGAAAATATAAAAATAAATAAATAAATAAATAAAAAGAAAGAAACATAAGTGTTTCTAATGCATTATAAAAAATACACTGATATAAATTAAATTTATTTCAAAGGAAACTTACCTGCACTAGGCATCAATGCATACAGCCCAAACAGTTTCAAGTTGGGGTAACCCATGTGATCTCAACATTTGTCAAAGTTATTAGCAGAGGGGAAGGTGTCAGGGGGCAAAGGAAGATGAGAGATATTGGTTGGGTGAATACTTAAAGAAGGGCCAAGTTCTGTCTTAAGATCAGCTGCTTCTAGGATCGGAAGTAGAGATACAAGAGGCTCCTTGGTATTACCTGGTTCCTATAGGCTAGATAAAATATTAGAAGATAGCATACCTTGGGAAATTAGGACTTACCTGTTTGGGACAAAACAGTAAAGAGGGTCTCCATGCCAGCGTGGACATGGTCAGTCACATGGCAGTGCATCAGCCATGTCCCAGGATTGCTGGCCACCATTTCCACAACCTCAAAAGTTCCTGGAAACAAATCTATCACATCTGCCCGATAGCTCTCTCCATTCTGCAAGGGAGTTTGGGGGTGGGGGAGAGGAAGTGAAGGGTGTGGAGATTATGTCAGAGTTTGCTCGAACTAAAATTTTGTGATGTTCACATCGGGGATATGAGATTCCAAGATTCCTCGGCCAGTGAGATTACTACTACTACCACTAAAGTGGCTTTAAAAGTCCACTTTAGCCTGGCTCGGTGGCTCAGCCTGTAATCCCACGCTTTTGGGAGGCTGAGGTGAGTGGATTGCCTGAGCCTGCGGGTTCAAGACCCGCCTGGGCAGCGAGACCTCATCTCTACAATAAATAAAAAAAATCAGCCAGGCGTGGTAGCACATGCCTGTAATTCCGGCTACTCGGAAGGCTGAGAAGGAAGGATCGCCGGAGCCCAGCAGGTCGAGGCTGCGGTAGCCGGGAGCGGTCACTGCACTCCAGTCTGGGCGACAGAGTGAGACTCCAACTCAAAAAAAAAAAAAAAAGTCCACTTTATCCATCTCCCTATGAAGCCACCCACACAAACTAAATCAGCAGAGACTGTCTCCTCATATCTTTTCTTAAAGTGCCCAAAGTAAAAGACATTTAGTTTCTTCTAGAGGGCCCAAACTAGTATCCCCATACTTTTCAGTGGGCTCAAATCTGGGGAATTTGGCTTAAGCCTGAATCCACAGGAATAAGTCATATATTTTCTTTAGAAACTTATTCAAATTAGGTTCTCCTTTCTTGCCATCACCTTTATCAGCACCTATAGATCTCTAAGCCTATGTTAATGTCTCCACCTCTGCCCCTTTTTACTAAGACTAGATTATTTTCAAAATCTTTATATTGTTTATGTTGCTACTGAATTAAAACTCTTCCTAATAATGGGATAAAAATTTTCAGAGATTCTAAGATACTACTTGGAAACCCCTTGCTCTTAGAATCACTGCTAATTGAGTCTCAAGCCCTTGACTAATAGCTAATATTGATTCCTTCAGTCTCCTTACCAAAAAAATGAGCCATTCTTCTCTTCTATAGCAGAAGGGAAAGCTAAAACCCAGAGGGCAGTGACTGATCCTGGGATATAAAGCCAGACGAGCATTTTCAACTCAATCCTTTATGTGCTAGACCTCTGCTCTTTTAACTGATTATTACTTGTTCCATGCTATTCCCCTCTTCCTCAATGGCTGTCAAGGCACTCCTCTAATCACCTTTTAGGGACTTAGACCTTTTCCCAGCTCACCCGATAGAGGAAGCTCTCTGCATGAAAGTGGATAGTGTGTAGGTCAATATCTTGACCCATAGCCAGCATATACCAGGCCACTCGTTCTCCTTGGTACATGGTAAGACCCTTGAGGTTGGCGTAGAGTTTCCCATTGATGGCTGTAAAAGAAGAAAAAAAGTCTTAAATCTCTCCTTTTGACTTCCTATTGTCACTGTACTAGGTCTAGTCTCTATTACCTACAATAGCAATAGGTTCTTAATTTGTCTCATCTTTATTCCACTTCTCCCCTCCAATCCATCTTCCACATTGATGTTGTCAGAATGATCTCTCTAAATAACTAATCTGACCTTGTTGCTTAAGATATTTTAATAGTTCCTTTCTGCTCAAAAGAGAAAGTCCCTGGTTCTTTAGCTCATTCAACAGGGTCCTTCAAATTATAGCTCCATATCATTTTCCTAGACTCATCTCCTGCCACTCAATATATTTATTCCAATTACAGTGATTTTTCACCATCCTCCATTTGGTCCATCTATGTTCTTTGTGTTCTTATGTTTCTCAGCTTCCCTTTCAGAAATCCTGGCTCCTTTGATCTATCCTGTCAAAGCCCAGTCAAACCTTCACCTCCCCCAAGAAGACTTTACTGCTCTCCAAGTGCCTCTCCATATCTCTCATTCCCTGCATCCCCATCCAAATCTGAACTCTTCCACTACAGTTTGTATGAATAATTGGAACTCATCATAAATTGCCTTCTACATTTACCTATTTTTAATGTGTGGAAGCTGGCATTCCCCAGTTAAACTATAGGTTTCTGGTAAGCAAGAAAAAGAATGTATATACTACAGTACTATAGCTTCCTTGTAGTTTTTATTTTTTTCAGAACACCCAGTAGACATCCTAGCCTATAATGACTACTTTTAAAAAAAGACTTGCCACATTCAGGGAGTTAATAATGATTAATGCATGGGCCTTATTATTGGTCTCCTCCGAGACCACATCCTATGCTCCAAAAAAATTTAGCTACTCACTGTCATATTAATTCATACAGCCAAGACTTTGCCCAGGACAATTTTACCCCACTTCTGAAATTCTCACAGAGGAAAGGTAATTTCCACTTTACTCCTCAAGAGGGGAAACAATCATTATACTCTTTGTGTCTACCCCCACCAAACTGCGAATTTCAGAAAAGCAACTAAACATGATTAACTCAGCCTCTTCTAGATCGCCTCTCTTTCTCTCTCTCTCCCCCTCCCTGATCAGTGTGGCCACAGAAATGGGTCAAAACTAGTTCGCTACTTCATTGTGGGTAAAAATCTGCCTCTGCCAAGAGGGAGAGATATTGCTGTCCATTCATGTCAATGACAAAGTAGAAAAATCTATCTATTGCAAGAGAGTAATTAGCATGCTCATTTCATTGCAGAACTGAAATCAGTTTTCCAAATGACTTTCTATGTAATAGTAAAGTAATAAAAGTAATGAAATCAGTTTTCCAAATGCCTTTCTAAGACAAATAAAACATTTGATCTTAAGCATCTCCCTCAGTTGGTTCAGGAATCTGGAAGGGAAGGAAGGGACATTATTTATTTGCCCCTTCAGATTCCAACATTATTTATATTTATTATTTATTTTATTTTATTATTTATATTCCAGTACTAGCACTCAGAACATTCTCAACAAACACCTGTTAGATGTGTAGGTAACTGAATTAAAACACGAAGAGTTTGGATAAATAGGTAAACAAACAGATGATAGTGGGCATTAGCCAAATAGTTGCATTAACAAGTCCTAACTGAGACCTCATTTCCTTTCCATCTTGGGCCATTTGTATTTGACAGAAGCTAAAAAGTTCACCTTGTAAAGTTTCTGAATCATCTGTTCTGATATGAATCACTCATCTCATCATCAAGAAGAAATGGCTAAAATCTGTGGGACGAGATACTTTTGCATTCCATTACAGTTACCATCAAAGCTACATCTTGCTAGGCACGGTGGCTCATACCTGTAATCCACTTTGGGAGGTGGAGGCGAGAGGATTGCCTGAGCCCAGGAGTTCGAGACAAGCCTGGGCAATTTGGCGAGACCTCGTCTCTATAATAAATTTTTAAAAGTTAGTTGGACATGGTGGCGCACACCTGTAGTTACAGCTACTTGCAAGACTGAGGTGGAAGAATCACCTGAGCCCAGCAGGTCGAGGCTGCAGTGGCTATGAGCATGCCACTGCACTTCAGCTTATATTTAACATAAATCCAGTATGGTACACTCTGAGGCTCACTTTTCCAATTATTCCATCTACAAATTGAAACGTTTTAAAAACAGACTAAAACACAAGCTGTCTTTCATTTGTCTACATTGGAATCCATTTAGAAAGCATCCTAAATTCAGAGTAGTAAAAAATAAGATAACATAGGGAAACTAAAGCCAGAATTTTGAATAGAGGGGCCCTAAGCAGCCAGATTGCCAGATACATTGAGGGTCATAAATGTTCATCTTGCCTTCTCTAAAATATTAAATTTGCTGTTGTCACCATGACAATAACTCTACAGAGTCAGCTTCCTGCTTTCTGGGCACTTGATATAATCTGAACCACATATCTGCTTTGTATATATAAATGTATAATAAAAGGAAATGTTTCTTCCAATTTGTCTTCATTCCACTTTCCCATCCTTTCTGCAATTATGTTTCCTTAGGTAGTAATAGGTCTTCAATATCCCCATGCAACCAGTGGAAACTTCTTTAGAAGAGAAGTAGATTATTTTCTACTAACCATGCATTTTATTGCTTTCCAAGAAAGTTTCATCCTGTAGGTCAACATGGTCCTGAGGCCCATGGGTCGCCACATTTTCCTCAAGATACCAAGACTGGTTCTCATCAAAGATCAAAAATAACAAGGCAAATTCCCGGTCCATGTCACTTCGTCCTCCATGGGGCTCCAGAATGCCCTTTCGGCAGACAACCAAAGGCCCTACCAGGCCACTATACATGTCCTGAAAAAGGAAGGAAGTGGGCAAGAAGAGAGAAAGAGATGGGGTTGTTCCTGGGTAGCAGTGCTTTGCAGGGAAACAGGTTCTCATACAAGCTTACTGTGCCCCCCAGCAATTCTCTATAATGTCTTACATTTGAATTCATTCAAATGTTTATGTCATTTGAATTCATTCTCACAACCATCATGGGACTTAAATAAGATATGCTATCTAACCTATGCTTTAACTAAGCTAAAGTATTCATTGATCTCTAAATCCACCAAGGATTTTCACAACCTACTATCTTTTTTCATGGTGTTTTCTTTCCCTGCAATGGCCTTCCCCCACCATATTCCTTATCTGATGGCATACTATTATTATGCTTTCAAGACCCAGAATACATGTACCTTCCATAGTATGCCTTCTCCAATTTCCCTCTTGCTCAACTAGACTATATTATTTGTAGGTGAAAAACGTATCGTACATTTGTATCTTCGAAAGAACCAAGTAAAATGTCTAAAACGTAGTAGGCACTTAGTAAATAATTGTTGATGACTGGTTGGAGATATATATAGATAAATAGATAAATTAATTTTCCAGATAAGAAAACAGAGACAGAATGACTTATCTAAAGTCATTCCAAAGGTGTGGTAGAACCAAATTTGGGACTAGAAGCCCAATCTCCAGACAACCAACCCCAGGTCTTTTGAATGAGAAAATATTGCCTTACAGAATCCAAAATGAAAAGGCAAGGGAGAAAATCTTCAGGACAAATATTTTCTTCATCCCTCTTCCTGGCTGTTAAAATAAGCATAGCTTTTGAAGAATTTCTTCCATGCCTTAAGCTGTAGTATCTCATGAGTGGGTTTCATACTACACCTGGTCAATAGTTTCTTTTTACTAGGTATTTTGCCCATTTCTGAAACCTAACTCTAGACAATCAATCTTGTCTTTACCTTGATGGGATCCACTGCAGAATAATAGATCCAGGAGACACAAGCAGAGTCATTGGGCCCAGGACCAGATCTCTCTGGGATGTTCCATTGGTAAGTGAGTACCTCACCTAGGAAAGGATAGAGTCAAAAATTTATCTCAACTCTCAGGTATCCCCAAGCCCCAGCACCTTTAGGATATTTCACCAGTCTCCATTTTATTTTTGTGACTTTTCTCTTTTCCCTCTTGGGACACCCTCAACCATTCTTTTTTACTCTCTCTATTCTTAAAGGCCCAAGTTCAATGCTCTGGTAAGGCAGCCCTGCTACTATTCTCTCTGCTAGTAATGCTACTCCCTTTTTGGCTCAGTTTTGGTCTATTATTCCTACTGCTGCTTCCTAATGGTAACTGTTTCTAGAAGGCCCTGTCTCCAACTTCCTTCTATTCTCTTTCCACGCTCTCTCCATGGAAACTTTCTGCCACCTTTCTGAAGTCAATTACAAACTATGCATTGATGACTCTCGAATACTTAGATCCAGCCAGACCCCTCTTGTTGACAAGCTCCAATCCCAAATTTTCAATTAGATTTTGGGCATCTTTTAAAGATTTTCCTGACAGCACCTCAAAAACTGAAATTTTTAAAAACTCACCTCCCTCCTTTGAAAATCAATCCTATTTCCCATTTTGTTTTCCAAGTGTCTAGAAATGACATTATTGCTCTCTTACTTACTGAAAACTTTAATCTTCTTTTCTTCCACACCTTTATACATTCACCATCCACCCAAATGGCAAACCTTATTTATTCTACCTAAACAATGCACTTTATAGCCAGCCCCTACACCTTCTAGTTCTGACAACTCTGATCCTATTTAGACCTTTGTTTTCTCAACCTGGCTATTACAAAACCTCCTAATGTGTCTCTTTGCATCCAGTCTTGCCCTCTCAAGTCTATCTTCTAATTGGTGCTATACTAATGCTTTTTTATAACAACTTTAGTGAAACATAATTTATATAACATACAATTCATCTATTTAAAGTGTTCAATTCAATGTTTTTAGTATATTCACAGAACTTTGTAACCACCACCACAATCTACTTTAGCACATCTCCTCACCACCAAAAAAAAAACCTGTACAGGAAGAATCGCCGGACCCCAGCAGGTCGAGGCTGCGGTGGCCGGGAGCGGCCACTGCACTCCAGTCTGTGTTACAGAGTAAGACTCCAACTCAAAAAATAATAATAAAAAAACACCTGTACATTTCTCACTCTTTATCTACCCACCCATGCCCATAGCAATCTACTTTCTATCTCTATAGATTTATCCATTCTGAACATTTCATAGAAATTGAATTGTACAGTATATTTTCTTTTTTATATATTTTATTTTAAAGATGTGGGGTACAGTTCAGGATTGAGTATACAAGTGGATTAGGATAATGTTTTCCTAGTCCACCAATGTTGTAATGTATCAGTACTTAAATACTTTTTATTGCCACATAATATTTCATTGTATGACTATATCCATTTGGACATTTAGGTCATTTCCACTTTTTAGCTATTTTGAATAACGCTGTCAACATTTGTGAAAAAGTGTTTTTGTGGACATAAGCTTTCATTTATCTTGGGTATGGACCTAGGAGTGAAACTTTCAAGTTATATAGTACTCTGTGTTTAACCATTTAACGAATTGCCCAACTACTTTTCAAAGCAGCTGCACCATTTTGCAACCTTGCCAGCAGGATATGAGCGTTTCAATTTCTCAATACCCTCATGAAAAAATAATTATAGTTTGCTTTATAAATTTTTTATTTTAGTTATACTAGCAAGTAAGAATGTTATGTCTTCGCAGTTTTGGTTTGCATCTCTCTGATGGCTAGTAATATTAAACATCTTCTCTTGTGCTTATCGGTCATTTTTAATATCTTCTTTGGAGAAATGTTTATTCAAATCCTATACCTATATCATCATTTTTAATAGGGTTATTTGTTATTGTCAAACAACAAAGATCTTGAGCTATAATTGTTTATATATTCTGGATACAAGCTCCTTATCAGATATATAATTGCCAAATTTTCTCACATCTTTATGGTGTCCTTTAAAGCATAAGAGTTATTAATTTTGAAATAGTGCAATGTATTTGTTTACTTGTACTTTTGGTGGTGTACCTATGAAAGTATTGTTTAATCCAAGATTATGAAAATTTTCTCCTTTGTTTTCTTCCAAGAGAAATTTTATCTTTTAAATTTATGTATTTGATCCATTTGAGTTGATTTTTATATATGTTGTAATATAAAGGAGCAATTCCATCACTTTTCATGTCAATATTCAGTTATCCCAGTGCCATTTGTTATTCTTTCTTCATTGAATGGTCTTGGCATTCTTGTTTAATATCAAATGATCATAAAGGTGAAGGTCTATTTCTGGACACTCAATTCTTTCTTTTTAAATTTTTTAAATTTTAAAGATGTGGGGTACAATTCAGGGTTAGGTATACAAATGTTCATTATGCAAGTACCCTTGCTGACTAGGTATGCCCCCCCCCACTCCCCTGGCAGTTTCCCACTACTGCCAATACCTTTCTTGTAGTATTATAATTGTTCAAGATCCACTTATGAATGAGAACTTGTATGCAGTTCTTTGTTTCTGTGATAGATCATTCAGTATTATAGACTCTAAGCCCATCCAAGTTGCTGTGAAGTTCATAATTTTGTCCTTTATGGCTGTGTAATATTCAACTGTGTATATGCACCATATTTTTAAAATTTTTATTTTAAAATTGTAGGGTACAATTCAGGGTTACGGATACAAATATTTATTGTGCAGGTACCCTTGTTGACAAGGTGTGTCCTCCTTTCCCCAGGCAGATATCGACTACTGTCAATCCCACCTCTCCGTCCCCATTCCCCACAGTTTCCTGCTACTGTCAATCCTTTTCTTATAGTATTACAGTAGTTGTTCAAGGTTCACTTATGAGTGAGGACGTGTGATACTCAGATCTTTGTTTCTGTGAAAGATCGCTCAGTACTCAGTATTATAAACTCTAATGCCATCCAGATTGCTGCAAAGTTCATGATTTTGTTCTTCCTTATGGTTGCATAATATTCCATTGTGTATATGTACCACATTTTTTTATTCAGTCCTTTTTTGTTGAGCAGCACAGTTGGTTCCATGTTCTTGCTATTGTGAACAATGCTGCAATAAACATACATTGCACCACATTTTTTTATCCAGTCCTCTTTCAATGGGCAGCATGTTTGGTTCCATATTTTTGCTATTGTGAATAATGCTGCAATAAACATGCATGTGCAGGTATCTTTTTTATAGAGTGATTTGAGTTCCTTTGGGTATATTCCCAGAAGGTGGATGGTGGAGTTATATGGAAGGTTGGCTTTTAGATCACCTAGGAACCACCAGACTGTTTTCCACAGAAGGTGTACTAGTTTACACTCTCACCAATAGTATAGAAGTGTTCCCTTTTCCCACAACCTCTCCAGCATCTGTTGTTTTTAGAGTTATTGAGGAAAGGCCATCCTGACTGGAGTTAGGTGGTATCTCAGTGTGGTTTTAATTTGTATTTCATTGATGATTAGTGAGGCTGAGCATTTTTTCATGTATCTGTTGGCTGCTCATATGTCTTCTTTTGAGAAGAGTCTATTCATATCTTTTGCCCACTTTGTAATAGGGCTGCTTGTTTGGTTTGTTTTTTTTTTCTTTTCAGCATGTTTGAGTTCTTTGCAGATACAAGATATTGGGACTTTGTCAGATATACAATTGGCAAGTATTTTTTCCCAGTCTGTGGGCTGTCTCTCCACTCTCTTGATGATTTATTTGGCCTTGCAGAAGCTTTTCAGTTTGATGAGGTCCCACTTGTCTGTCTTATCTCGTATGGCATGGGCCTTTGGAGTTTTGATCAGGAATTGGTTGCCAGTTCCAATTTCCATAAGGGTGGGACCCTCAATTCTATTTTATTGATTTGTCTATCCTTATGCTAGTACCACAGTCTTAATAAATGTGCATTGTAGTAAGTTTAGAAACCAGTAAGTGTGAGATCTCCAACTTTTTTCTTCTTCAGTAAAGTTGTTTTGGCTATGCCATATTAATCTTTCCAAAACTTTTCTTTGTTCATGTCTCTCCTCTGTTCAGAAACATCTAATGGCTTTCTAATAGTCAAAGAATAAACTCCAAATACTTCCTCTAAGCACCTAAGCCTTCCCTAACTCAGCCCTGACCTATCTTGTCTGTTATTCTTCCTACTTCTGTAAAATATACACTGGCCAAACTTAACTACTTGTTCACCTCTGGACATACCCCATACTCTCAAAACTCTGTACCTTTGAACATGTTTTGTTTACATGGACTTCCTTTCAACTTCTCTACTGAGTTCCAGACTCCGTTATTACTTGGTCCTTCCATTCATCTAATTTTTGTCTCAAAGTCGACATATTCAAAACAAATCTTTAACCGCTCTTCCAAATCTGCACCTCTTTTAGTCTTACTTATCTGGTAAATGTGCCACCAATTATTCAAGCCAAAAATGCAATAGTTATCTTTGATTTATTTCACATCTTCATATCTCACATCCATCTACAAGTTCTGAATATCGACATGAAAAATATATCTCATATCTATCCACTTCTATTCATCTCCACTGCTACCACTGTAGTCTATACCATCATCTTCTGTCACTTGGACAACAACAGTAGCTACCTATCTGGTCCCTCTCATAACATGTGCTCTACACAGTAACAAATGTAATATTTTTAAAATACAAAGTTAACCATATCACATCTCTACAACAGCCTCCCATTATGATTAAAATAAAATCAAAATTACCTACCACGGCGTGCAAGGCTCTGCATGATCTCATTTTTTCTTGTTTACCTCTACAAACTCATTTTGTACTATCCTTCATCTTTCTCAGTATGTTAGAGTCACACTATCTCCACCATTTTCTTCAAATACCCTCTATTTCTGTGTCATGGTATTTGCACTTGACCGTTTCTTCACTGTGCAGAAGTGTATTCTATTTCCAGAAAAGCCTATTTAACCATCTTCTGAATAAACAACATCATACATTTTTATTTTTCTTCAAACCTCCTACCTTAGCCACCTCCCACTTCCACAACACTT